GGGAGGGAGGGAGGGAGGAAAAACACAACACAAATAAACAGGGAATGCATAGCATTGTGTTCACCTTTTCGACCTTTCATTAATTCTCAGCAGTTGAATAGTTTATCCTAGTTAAAGTTCAAATTAAAAAAGAAACCAAAAACGTAACTTGTACTTTTCAAAGTTCTGTTTTTGTTTTCTTTGTTAAACGTATGTATTTTAACAAGCGTACACACTCGGAAAGAAACAGAAGAGCAACCGATAACGAACAAGGAAAAGCGACAGCTTTACCAAAAGACACAAACGACCAAAAGGGGCTACAAACGACACACCTCCATCAAATATTAGGATTTCAAAGTTCCTACGGCGAGAAGCGGTTGTTAAAATCCAAACCACATATAAATGTCAACAGCCACAGTCAAGACAGTATATTCTCTTTTCTGGATTTCATCCACTCCAAATTGATCGTCTCTTAAATTTTAAGAGGGTCCCTTAAAGGATTTGCATTGAAATAAAATTATCATCATCATCATCATCATCACTACTACTACTACTACTATTATTTCCACTTCAAAGCAGCAACTCTTTCTAAACAACGGTGTTTCTCTTCCCAGTGCCCTTTTTACATGCCGCTCCTGGCTGTTCATTCACGCAGCAGAGGAAAAGGGACCAACAGGTGTTGCCTGCGTGCAAAAGATATTGGAAGCCGCTTCCGGATAAGGCACGGATCGCTGTCTGCAGGCCACGCACGTGGATTGCCACAGTCCCAGCTCACCTGGTTGGGGTTTCTAGGGTTAATCACTTCCGGCTTCTCTGGATCTAACTCCATGGCTTTGGGGAGGAGGATCTGAACTCCGGACTCTGGCAAATTCTTCCCGGCTGTTTCAAAGAGAAATGGAGAGCTTCTGACCCCCACGCTGGCATCTGCTCCCCGCCATTCCTGCTCAGCCCTTCGGGCAGCTTGGAAGCACGACGAGGCGTGAACGTGCCTTCCCAGATGCCCCTCTGCCCCTCCCCAGCTTTTGCAGGTAGACTGCCCTTGAATAGGGAAGCCCCATCTCCCCAGCCCGGGTGAGAAACACACCCACCGACCGTCCCTTTGCCCGTCGGATCGCTGGAAAGAAGACGTTTCGGAGCCAATCGGGCAGTGGGAGCAAAAGGTTCTAGAAGGGAAACAGTTGGTAGTTACGACCCGAGTTCTCCTGTTTTTTCAAAACAAGGAGGCTGGCAGTGCCCGCGGAAATTTAAGGCGCAACGGCACCGGGAAGCCGGAGAGGCGTCGGGGGGGGGCGTAAGGAAAACCACCACCTAGCTGTGCGCAAAGAGGGGCCTACCTGGCAGGGCGGTCTCACGGCACCGATCCGAAAGCCCCGAATCCGGACCCAGGTCGGAAACCCTTTTCCCCCGTCTGGAAGCGCGTTGATGTCCTGTTGGAGAAGCTGCTTGCCAGCTGAAACGGCCGCCATCGATGACATTGTGACGATGGTTGGTGGCACAGCTGGCCAGATGTTTAGACTGGAAGTGGCCTTTTTGCCCACCTTATTATCTATTAAATTGTCGGATATTAGGGTATGATATTATCGCTTTATATTATTTTATTGTTCTTATTTTATATTATTTTATTATATGATTGTTCCGGTTGTTATTTTATCTTATGATTGCTATTCTTATTATATTATTATTGCTGTTCAAAATATTATTCATATTTTGTCTCTATGCCACCCCAAATGGCTTTGGGGTTAGGAAAAGATGGTTCCATCTCCCACCTTATTGCACTGATATTCTGGATTTTCTCCAGAAAATGCCTGCAACCGAACACCGCCGTAGCCAGTTTTGGCTCGTTCTCCGCCACGTAAATGATGTATTTTTTTCCGTCAGCTTCCTCCTCTCGTGGAGATTTTGCACAAGGGGGAGATTTTTGCCATTTTTGTACTTAACCGCAGCAATAACCAGAAAACCAAAGAAATAGGAGAGGGGACCAACAGGCGTTGCCTGCACATATCTTTTTGATATGCATCATTTTCTTCTTTTAATACATTTCCATGCCACCCCGAGTCCCGGTCAGTTGCGGAGGGTGGACAAGCTACACAAGTAAATAATAAAACTAATCCCCCCCCCCCAAAAAAAGATGTTTTAAAAAGGAAGAGGTTTATTTAATTCCCGGGGGCTGGCCCACGATTGGAAAAGGAGGGAATACAATTGGG